TAGCATACTGGTCATGCTAGCCATAATGAGACATCAAATTTACAATCAACATTGGTGGAATCCTTGAGTATAATGATGATGCTTTATAAAAACTGTTTGTGGGCACCAGTCAAAATTTGTATATTTATTAAAGTCTGGGATGATTTCACAGTCAGTAACATAATGGAAGTATAAAACTTCATTCAAAGGAAGAAATATTTCACCATTCAACTATTTTCTTTATGTAGAATCAATATTGAAAGTATTGTATCAGGGGTTAGGTGCACTTAATTGTTGTGAAGATCTCTCTACGTTATTTGAAAACCCTACTAAACGCTATGCTTTACGTTAAATGCTTCGAAACTTATTTAAAGACTGAAGTACTACCAAGGCACCACGCACGCACGCACTTCTTTAAAGTAGTTTATTTCGTATGACTGAAAAATAATAGTATCGACGTGTCGTTGTGATGTGTCTTAGCATTTCTCTGATTGGATGAACAGTGATGTCGAGCGCTGCGATTGGCTGAGCGAGTGTCTCAAATTACGTACTGTTACTATATGGTACGTGCCGTGACGTTTCGTAGTCATACGAAATTTACTCATGGCTTACTTGTTTGCGCAGTTGTCAGTTAATGATCCGTCTTTATCTTTATCGTATGCACTGAATCTCATATTCTTGTTGTAGCTTAGATAATCTCCAGCTGTTCCTGAAAGGCAGATGTAATAGAATGAAATGCAGTTATCTATATATATTATACTCCAGTATCGAGTTCTCTTTTACTCCGGGTTAGCCTCATCGAATGGTGCCGAACAATTGTAAGTTAAATATTTCTGTTAATGGGAGAATTACTAGGTTTAGTTATCTTAATTTCATAATTCCTAAGTACAATAGAGTCTCTGCACCATCATGTGATGGCAGCCATGACAGGAGGTACAACAATAGAGGCTTTGCACCATCATGTGATGGCAGCCATGACAGGAGGCACAACAATAGAGTCTTTGCACCATCATGTGATGGCAGCCATGAC